GTCAATTAATTTAAAGTTTTTATTGGGTGTGATAGAATAAATAGTATAGCTTCATCAGTTCATTGTGAATTTGTATTTAGTAACATTGAAGATTATATCTCATTTAGTGTTATGTTCGTTAACTTGAATGCTACTACTGATTCGTCTTACTCTGAATGGAACAAAGAATCAATGATTCAGAGACTCAATAGGCTATACTGGTCCGTTGTCCCCGACTCAGCTAACTCGATCCAGAAGTCTTGGTAAGATGTAGAAAGTGTATTCTACAGACAACCAGAAATACAAGGTTCCTCAAGCACACAAATCAAGCGTATTTATACAAAATATATATGATCGATATTGACATGGAAGTTTTTGAACATTTAATCGATAAGTCAGTCAATCGACCATGTGCATGGGTGGTAAGAAGTGCCCAACCATACATCTGAATACAAGCTCCACATAGATAAAATTACAAAATATGAGTTTTGGGGATCTAACGTCCCCATTACTTAGAAATATCTACATAATGAGTCAGATGTATAGATTCTCAAATTGACTTTGTATCTTATAAAATTATCGTTATAAAGTCTAAACATTTTAGAATTATTTTTATATAAGATTCCTATTGAACATTGTTCAGTGTTACCCATTGTTAAATGTAAACTCAATCGTATATTTAATTAATTAAAGTACTGATGAATGTCTATACAGATTTTAAAAAATACCAAACCATGTTAATGATATGGAGAGATAATCAGAAGTAGCCTAGTAAGATGATCAATCGATGAAGATCAGAAGTGAATTAAAGGACAACTACATTTCATTGTCTAAGATATGGGTCAATTTCCTAATGACTAAAGTGTATATATATGAATGAGTATTTGTACATTTTATTCAACAACCCAATACAATTTCTCTCTCACTCTTGTTTCCTAACTCAAGTAATAACTTAGGGAAGGGGGGTTAGCGCTCAGTACACTGTATATCAGTATTAGATTTTGAACACCACCCCATCATAACAGTCCTCTTTTCTCTTATTTAAAAGAAATAAGTTCTATTATTAACATTATTTACTTTATCATAAGGTAATAAAGAAAGTATTTACAATTTCTCTTTTACAATTTATTGATTATTTTATAAGTTTTAATGTTTTTAACCTTATACTATTAACCAATTCTTTTATTCTAATCATAGAAATCTTATACTTTTCTAATAATTAACATTCAATCATGACAAAATAGTAAACTTTCTACTAAAAACTAAACTTATTATTGATCAACATGACATTTAACATTCATCTCATTGATATAATATTATGTAAGGAAACTAAGCCTTAACAACAACAACAACAAAATCATTCTCATTTACTATTAGTTACCATATTACATTAACCGGTTTGACTTATTTGATAAGAGAAATAGAATGTATGTTTTTTTCTTTTAAAAAAACAAACAAAATGTCGTTTAACAATGTTATACATGTCAAGAATATGTATGTATTACATTATGTAAAAAAGAATGTTTTACAAAAAGAAAAAAGAAAAAAAAGGAAAAAGACACAATGATGTAAATTTAAAAGAAAATATTATCGTTGTTTCTTTTCTTTTTCTTTTTTTTCATTTCTCATTGATTCATAGTTTATGATGACTAAAAAGAATCTATAAAAAATCTATTTTTTTTTGTTTTTGTTTTTCATTACAGTTTGGAGCCAACTATCAGATTTTAAATGACATTTACAAGTTTCAATTTCTTTGTTTCAATGAGGTTTATTATTATTATTCTTCGAAAGTTACGAATTAATATTACTTCTTTATTGTTATTATTATTAGTTTTGTTGCTTTCTGTAATTGAACTATCTAAAGTTAGTTTATATATCAATTGTTAAAGAAACATGCATAAAAGTTCCCTTATCATTTGATGATTATGACGCATAAAATATTGTTCTCTAAAAGGAATAAGTGAGTCATTATCTAATAAAAGATTATATGAGGTATTGTGAAACAAAAGTCAGTAGTAAGTCTGTTGATTAAAACATCTACGGTGGCGCAACTTCGTGAATGGGTTGAAGTTAGACATTAACACCGTTGGATGCCGATTCAGTGGTCTAATGTTTAAGTGCTCGCGCGTGAAACTAGTAGGTTCTGGATTTGAATCTTGCGGGGTGCGGGATTGTGGATGCGCCCTGCTGAGGAGTCCCATACTAGGACGAAACAGCCGTCCAGTGCTTCCAGGTTTGCTAATGTGGTCTAGCTTCAAATGACTCATGATTTCAACCTGTGAAATTTCTAAAAATCTCCACTAAACCCATTCTGACATCTAGAATAATTAAAATTCATAATGTTTTTCTTTTTGAGGATTTGAAGCTTTTATTATAGATCAAAAATGTTATTTATTTTATTCTAATCAATAATTGTGTAGATTGTTAAATTTATAATTGGTTGTTATCAGTTATAAAAGTTAGTGAGAGAATCTTTGAAAAGTCCTAAACGTATTATATAATCAGTTGAAATCCTATGTTCCACAGTTATTTGATTTGAAGTTAGTTTTTATAACCGAATAGATTGATTGTCTATGTTCAGTCCATTTTGACTTCGAAAGTGTTTACTGTAGAGAGATAGTTTTTTTCGATAGTTTTCAGTTATTTTATAGTTTAGTTAATTTTGTAAAGAAGCGTCCATCCATATATTACTCTTATATCATAATAATATAATGTAATATAAAACCCAGAAGCTACTTTTCTTGTTATTGAAGTGTACCACAATGATACTAATACTAATCAAATAGTCTAAACGTAATTCTTTATGGAAAGCATTTTTATTTTGCCGAACATTTATGAAAATAACCGTAAATCAAAGTTTATTGACAGATGAAAATTCCATTTCTCTGTCTAACATACTTTCTCGAATTCGACAATTTTTGATGTTTATTTTAGAAACAATAGTTCCATTGATTAGTAACGAGATATCTGAATTTCACTCTGAATTTTGAAGTAAATCTGTATGGCGATCAACAAACCAGTACGTCAACAGTTCAAACACCGATGGCTTGAATTCTCTTTATTACTGAGTTTACCTTAAGACCTCGGCTACGGACATAATATTTACGGTTTATTCTCAAAACTTTAGAAAGAAACTTAATTATCTCAAATACAAAAGAATCAAAGGAAGTTTACAACAATATAAGACCAAAGTCTTCCATAAACCAGTTAACGCTCTCTAAAATAGTTTATTTTGTTTTAAAACAATCAAATTAAAATAATTTCAACGCGAGACTGTCTGTAATGGCCAGGCTACACCAAGTTTATGATAAACATGCCTTTCATTAAATCTATATATTTTTATTTAAAAACATTTAGACCACACAAAGGGTTATAGTGACTATGAAGAACATGAAAATATACAAATTAAACATACAAATCTACTGTCTATCATATTGTCCCTTGACATTGATGAAAAATATATTGTTGAGCTAATTCACTTCATGTTAAAACTATCACTACCTAAAACTAATGTGATCTAAGCTAAATTGGAAAATTACTCTCAAATTAATTCATCATTTGTATTCTAAATCTCATAATTATCTAAATTTTACCTCACAAGAAGTAACACTTACAAAAAGTACTGAACATATAATCCTGTTGTACATGAAACGCATTATAGCAACCTGTTTAGACTTGTCTAAAGTGATTTGATTTATTTACTTCCTTATTCAGGCACATCTTAAGTTATAGGTCATTTACTCCTCAAAAAGTGTTTACGTAAGATTCTAAAGTGTTATAGATACAGTTGCTGATTTATTTGAAATATCACCGGTTTTACAATTGTTCAAATCACTAAACATAACAAAACGTTTTGCCCACATATAGTGAATTATTAGAGAGTATGTTACAATTAAAGGTGTTATTTAATTCACTGATTTACTCTAATGGGTTTGTTTTTTCTTAACACAACTGAAAGTATTTTCGAAAATAAAGTATGACTTACTACTAACCTTTTACATACTATTTACGAAAAATTTTAAAGTCTATATATATTAAATTCAGAATCTTCAATACCAACGTCAAGGCAGTTCTACTGCAAGGACCTGAAACTTGGAGAACTACTACAACCACCATCAAGATACAAGTATTTATAGATAGCTGTCTGCGTAAGACACTCAACATCCATTGGCCGGATACCATCAGCAGCATCCTTTTGTGGGAGAGAACAAACCAGCTTCCAGCTGAAGGGGAAATCAGGAAAAGATTATGGAAGTGAATAAGACATACATTACGTAAACCATCAAACTACATCTCGAGGCAAGCCCTAACTTGGAATCCTGAAGGGAAGCGGAAAGGTGGAAGGTCAAAGAACACATTACGTCGGTAAATAGAAGCAGCTATGAAAAGGGTGAATAACAACTGGAAGGAGCTTGAAAGGATTGCCCAGGACAAGGTTGAATGGAGAATGTTGATGAACGGCCTATGCTCCTTCACGAGGAGTAACAGGTGTAAGTGATATATATATGAGACGAAATAAATTTTAATTGTCTATATGAAAATTATTAGGCTAATATACAATAGAATATTTTAGAGTATATAATGAAGTGTCTATAAATGTTTATGACATGAAATAGAGTTAAGTCATCAAGTTAACTTTTAGAAGAAAGACAAAAATAAAAATGTAAAAAGTTATTTTTTTAATATTTATTTTCTTTACCGGCAATTGATAGACAGAAATTATGTAAATTTCTCATATATATAAAAAAACTAAATTAAAATCATTTAAACACTATGATATGAGGTAAATACATATTACTAGAGTCATTTCATTCATTTCAAGTGGTATATCATTTTGTTACAATTAAATAAAGAAGAAAAAGAAATGGTTTTTTTTCCCGTAAACATCTATTAGTCTTACACTGGTATATATGAAAACATTATTTATGTCAATCAAAGATAACTATGTACTTTTGTTATTTTTATTTTTTTATTTATTTTAAGAAATTACTTAGTAGACAAATGTCCAAATAATAATAATGCTAAGTAGTAGTAGTAGTAGTAGTAGTAGTAGTAGTAGTAGTAGTAGTAGTAGTAGTAGTAGTAGTAGTAGTAGTAGTAGTAGTAGTAGTAGTAGTAGTAGTAGTAGTAGTAGTAGTAGTAGTAGTAGTAGTAGTAGTAGTAGTAGTAGTAGTAGTAGTAGTAGTAGTAGTAGTAGTAGTAGTAGTAGTAGTAGTAGTAGTAGTAGTAGTAGTAGTAGTAGTAGTAGTAGTAGTAGTAGTAGTAGTAGTAGTAGTAGTAGTAGTAGTAGTAGTAGTAGTAGTAGTAGTAGTAGTCGAAGTAATGAAACATGAAAAGTAATATGAAACTTTTAAGTTTTTGAAAGAGAAAAAGAAACGGCTATGAGAAAGTATAATATAGTGAAAGAAAATTGTTTCCATATTTAATTCTTTGCATTTATAATTCATTTAAGTTTTCAATCATCAATGTTTTTATTATAATTAATAACGCGATGTTATTCTTAGGTTCATGTATAAAAAACTTTATTATGGGAAGGAAAAAATAAATTAATAGTTGAATTCATGAGTCAATTAATGTTAGATCACCATGGCAAACCTGGAAGCATCGAACGACTGTTTCTTCGTAGTATGGGACAGTTCAGCAGTGCGCATCCATAATTCTATCCCCCGAGATTCGAACCCAGGATCTATCGGTATCACGGGCGAACGCTTGACCTGTAGACCAATAATTGGACATCTAATTGTGTTAATGTCTTGCTTCAACCGACCTACTCCCAGTGCTTCCAGGTTTTTCATGATAGTCTAGCTATAATGGACTCGTGAATTCAACTTTTAAATTACTACAATCTCCTCAAAACCCCTTTCTGATAATTTATATTTTGACTACAAATGTTAGACTAGAATTAACCAAGTGTAACGAAGTATATATATATATATATATATTAATTCAAGTAGCTCAGTAAGAGGGTATCAAACCATATGGTTGAGTGTCCCAAGTTTCAAACTCATACATAGTATTATTTCTCTCAAGCTTGATGATACGATTTTCTGACATTTGCCATCTAGTGCAAAATCTAAGTTCACACTTTCCAATCGATTACCTCGAACCATTTGACACAGATTCACAATGCAAACAATATTGAGTAACTTAGATTAATGGTCAAACTAGTACTTGGTCTGTAGAAATCTATTAATACTAAAAGATAAGACAAATATGAGGTTGATTACTACTTAATAACCAATCACTGTGCAAAAATGTTTCAATCAATGAGTAACTTGTATTACATAACAATTTGTAGAATTTTCAAAGTAAAATAATTACTCGACAGTGAATTTTACTAAGAGGTTTAAAGACAAAATTCTGACATTATCAAACTAAGTTATCATAGTTTATATGTTATGTGTACATGTTATGTATGAAATACTTTCAAATTTATATTTTCAACAGTCAATTAGCATCTATCTACGCAAAATACTTCGAATCTGTTGGTCAAACACTATTAGCAACAACCTACTGTGGGATAGAAGAAACCAGATTCCAGCGGGAGAAGACATCATCAAGTAGTGGTGGAAGTAGATAAGATACACACTGAGGAAAGCACCCAACTGCATCACAAGTCAAACTCTCACATGGAATCCGCAAGGCCAAAGGAGAAGAGAATGACCAAAGAACACATAACGCCGAGAAATGGAAACAGACATGAGAAGAACGAACAACAATTGAACAGACCTAGGCCTAGGACAGAATTGTTTGGAGAATGCTGATCAGTGGCCAATGCTCCATTGGGGGTAACAGGCGTAAATAAGTAAATAATCCATTATAACTTTATAAAACTAGTAAATATTTAAAGCCAATGAAAACTCTAAATTTGAAGACAAATTAGGTTGACTGACAGTTTCAATATGATACAAATACATTCGAACATAGAGATATTATATCTAGTTTCTAGTAATATACCTATTAATATGAATATTGACAATAGATTCATTATATTCTGTTAACAATTAACTAACCCTTCTCTTTAGACTTAGACTATGAATATAAAATATTAGGAAACATTCTTTTATCCTAAAACTATTTGAAACATTATTACTAGAATATAATAGTAATAATAATAATAATAATAATAATAATAATCAGGTTATTATTTTTTATTAAAGTAAAATCATTTCTATGATATAAAATGCTTAATTTATAGATGTTACTTTTATCTTCTCCTATTCAATAGATAAGAATCTCTATGACCTGGAAAAAACTATATCTATCTATCTATATATTGTCCAATTAACCTAAAATAAACTATTATAACTTAAGAGTTCATACTATTATGATGATGATTAGTTTATTTGAAAAGAAGTAAAAAAAGGGGTTATTATTACCCCCCGGTAGAATTCTTTTGTTCTTGAAATTTGTTTCTTTATATTTTTTTGTATTCTAAAATAATTTTGTTTTGCTTTTTAAAAAAAAGAAGAAAAACAAGAAAAAGAAGAAAAGAGCTAAGTTTAAAATAATGACAAACATAAATTCATTATGATTTCAAATGAACAATGAATCAAAGCTACAATAGAATGTTTGAATGTTTTGATGGTTAGAAATAATTATGAAGAGAGAAAAGGAGTTATAACTTTTTATGTTTTCTTATTGATTATATTTAAGAGTAATTTAGTTACATTACTGTTTGTACACAGTTTTCTATATAACAGATATACCTTATTTAATTATGATTGAATATAAAAACAACAAGAAAACATAAATATTTTTGACTTTTATTTTATAGTTATTTATCAGATCTAATAATTAAAGTCATGTTGTGGTGCGTGCTACTTATATTGATGTAAGTAGTATATGATGCGAGTCAGGAATGTAATGTCTGGCAGCAGAAGATTGGGAAGATCAAGAAAAGAAGAACGGGAATAGACAGTAATTAGTATAGAAATGCAAGAACAACGAAGTTCGAGACAACTATTGAACATTTTACAAATTAAGTATTACAGTATGGTTTTTTCTATTTTATCAAGTAACTCTGTAACTTTGTGCTAAATATGATTCGATTGTCCCAACCCGTGTTCGGTTCACTACAAATTATGTCAAATTCTACTAGTTAAGTTGGAATGTGCCTACTAGTTTAAATCACACAACATTTTTTGCATTTTGTCGAGATATAAGGTGATGACTGAACGTGGTTGACCTAGATTATACGCTACTTAAGACTTATTAGCAAGCTGTACCTGCTTTTTTTTACACAACTGATGTTTTCTGACGTATTTGACCCTGTTTCATCCAGCTTCATAGTCAAAGACATTACCACAGGGCTATCCAAACAGAGATTGACCACGTATGCCAATTCTTTACTCGTGCTGATTGATTTTTTGTAGATCACGTTAGATTACAGGCACACGTCGCTGACGAGCCGCAAATAGCACGAAGCCTCAGGCCAGGGCTTTGTGTTAGATACCTTCAACCACCACCTTGCATTTATCGGATCTGTAGACCTAGTAACCATTTCCATTCAGTAACTGGATAGACGATACTTTATCATTTAAAGCAGAGATCGTCAAACATGCATCTGATCTTTGAAAGCAAGTGTATAGAATGAAAAAGCTCTTGATACGAAGAAAAATGCGTCATTGGGTTGAATTCTGGTTAGTATAAGAAATAAGTTTACTGTGGATATATACATGAAAATAAATCGAAAGGGAACCATTTCGATAAGCTAAATACATAAATATAATCCTTGGACAACAACAAAAATTTACCAAGTCACCTAATGTTTGGAGTGTTAAAGCATAAAAGAATAACACCAATCGTTATGAAGTTAAATACTCAAGGTTGTGTTTAACGTAAAATGGATTTGAAGTCATCAAAAATCACAATAAACAGAATTGACTGTTACACTTTACTTGATGATGTCTGTTGCATAATCAGAAAAATGTCTTCAAATTCAACAAACAAACAAACGTCACTCATCTGAATTATAGTCTACTAACTTTGTATCACTTTATACATCAATTTCTGAAATTTTGGTGGCTAGTCTTGGCCAGTAAAGTCTATCTTATTTTAAACGAAACAGTAACATCAATACTATCTTAAGACAGTAGCAACTAAAGCTCATAACAAATTCTGTCGATGGTTTGAACGCTCTTATCTAAAATTTCAACGCAACTAGGTGGTTTTTTTGACGCTAACCTGTTCGTTGCATCAATATAAAAATCCTAAACAACTATATGTCAAAAGACGGTACCATCACCTCACTAACTGAGAAAAGGAATAGATATTCGAAATTGTCGGGACCAAAGTTCCGTGGAAGATTTGAGGTATGACTAGTGAGTTTCATCCACCGAGGAATTGAAACAAGCATAACGAACGTCAATCACTGAGGACCATGCAACATCGTAAATTGATTATATGTGTAATTGTAAACCACTGGGTACTGATTTAGCTATCTATTTGTAACAATCTCAACATGAGACCTAAAATGTGTAGTTTTTTATAATAAAATATGACACTGTACACTTCACCGTTCCTCATTAGGATTTCACCTATGGAAGAGGATTTTGTGAAATGTCACATGAACTTTAAAGTAGACTGATATCATCAAAAAAAATTATCAGTTGTTATTAAATCTTAATGCTCTACTTAAACAATATCCTGCGTTTGATCCCCAGTAGTGGTTGTGAATACCTGCTTCTAAAGATTATGAAATTTGAATAAAACCGTTGCAAAATATTTTTTTGCTTTCATTTCTTTTGTAGCTAACTTTAGTGTTTGATAAAATAATATTTAAAACAATATAGAAGAGACTGTAATACAGTCTATTTCAGTTACCGTAGTTCCCTATATGTAAATATATATGTATGTTTATTTTAATCATGGTTCAGTAAAACGTTGAAATAAATAACTAATATGAAAGTTATTTCAAACGTTTTGATATTTACTATTATTCACATTTCTTTCTCTAAATGTAATAATCCGGTATCATTCATGTCTATATTATATCATCTACTTGACAATGTCAAATAAACAATTTTTCATAAATGAAGTCATACTGTAGTTGTTTATTTCATATTATAAATATATATAATATTTACCTGTCTTGATAATTCAAAGATCAAAGGTTTTACTGTACATCGTTACTTTTGCAAAATGTTCTGTTATTATAACAAACATAAATAGTACCGACAACAATTGAACATGAAAGTGATTTTGATCATTTTAATACATAGAATTTATAACAACTGTCATAATACTGCCATCCAATTTACACTTTAGTAAGGATAAAGATAGGAATGATACGTTATATGTATATTGAAAAGTTAACTAACTCAAATTCTGTATACACTTCAAAAATTATTACTATTCATATCGTGACTCAATTATGTCGGAAAGATTTAATATGAAACTATCATATGATAAGTAAATT